AACTTAGCAGTAGTAGGCATTCCCCTCATTTCATCATGATCAACCAAAGACAAATCTGCACTATCATGATCATTATCACAAATATTCAATTTACCGTCAAGTTCATCATTTTCAAACTCTTTGTTAACAGCAGTAGACAATTTTGGTTCCTCCTCACAAATCATTAAAGGTTTTATATCTTCACTCTGACTAGTTATACTTTGTAAACTTTTGGAGTCAGAACTGCACTCTGAAGCAGTAACTCTATTCTGTGACACTCTATTCAACAATGGCTTACCAGTTGCAACTACAGACTTCTTCACCGCACCGTTATCGTCACACAATTCGGAGTCAGGCCTGGAGTTTACATTTAGCTTATCACTGAACTTGCTCACTTCTTCACAGTTCACTTCTGTATGCACCTCTTGCAAACGTGTAAAACACAACCGTGTTTGTCTTGCATCTTGTAACTTATCTGTTGAGGATGTACTACGAAACCTGTTACACTCACTAGGTCTATATGCATTACTAGACATCATGGAGTCTTCTCGATATCCACCTCTCTGAGGCCTACTCGTCATCAATGATTGCATTTTGCTCTCAGACTGCTCTATTCTAGGGGTGAGATGTAATAGACTGGCAAACTTGCTCATAGATTGATTGACGCTATCTTTTACCAGTTTCAGGATATCATCAAACTTTGGCTCGATACCCTCATCCTCCATACGGGAGCTTATCTTCACCCACTTCCTTTGCAGTCGAGTAGGTAGGCGTCTTGCTATTACTTCTAGTATAAAACTCGAGTTGAGGTCACTCATGCGATTCATCGAAATCATTGCATTCTTGTAAATTAGCAAATTATCTAAAAACTCAGTGAGTGCCTGGGAGTCATCCTGTAATTGACCACCATTACCCTTAACAGCCTCGAATAATTTCCCTGCAATCATCGAAGGTCTTCCAAACCTTTGACGTAATATGCTCATAGCCTCGTAGTAGCCCTCTTTTGGCTTCATAAACTTACAACACTGTATAGCTCTTGCAGCATCTCCAGTGCAATATCTCATCAAATACATTAACTTCAATTCATCATTTAATAAAAAACCACTCAACATGATCTCAAACTCCTTTACAAATTGTAAATAATCAGCTGGGTTTCCATCAAAACACCGTGGTTCAAATTTAGGGAGTTTGATGTTCCTATTATCCCTGAACGGCGAAACAGTAACATCAACCATGTCATGCTTAACATCAGACACATCGTTATAAGTAACAGACAAGTCAACATGACTTACTTTCCTGTTTGCATCCAAGACACTCTGTCCCTTCTTTGACCCAGGCATTGTTGAACTTGACCCAATTCCAAAAACGTGCCAGATATTGCTTGTTCAAAGAGGACTTGACCGGCACCAGGAAAGATGAACGGTGACTATCCGAACTTTCACCAACTGTTTGAATCCGCCAGATGTGTTTCCATCGTCAGAAACTGTGAATCACGTCTCATAAACCGTTAATGCCCAGCTCTCGCTACGCTCGGGCCCACGCTGTTCTTCGAAGATTTCTCAGAAACGCTTAGTTATAACGGACGCAAAAACCAAACACCGATCTGCCGCTTGATATTTCTTTATTGTTACACCAACATATAAAAGGAATAAGCGAACTAAGGTCTGAAAACAAATATTACAATAATAAATCATAGTATTACTTCTGACGATGTTTCACTCTTCTTTCTGAACAGCGACCGATGAGACGATGACTGTCGTATTGATGCCTCCGCGAAAATTGGGGAAGTTGATTTTCAGCAAACAACCATGAATTGATCGTTCAATCTTCAACTTAACTGACACAAACCATATGATGAAAGGCTGAGGAAATTAGGCCTGTTCACACTTAGCTGCCGTCGTCTTAGGGAAGATTTGATTACTGCCTACAAAATAAAAAAAATGACCAGAACCACCCAAACATAGGTGTTCTGCCATTGAGTAGGTATAGTCTCCCACGTGGAAATCCCAGAAGGATAGCGCACCACAGGGCAAGGGCCGAGTGCGCTCCCACTTCTTTTCACTGCGGGTTTGCCATCCCTGGAATTCCTTACCGGCAGGTGTAGCTATGGCACCGTCTTCGGACGAACTTGAGCGAAGGCTGGACAACAATGCAGCGATACAAGGACTGCATCCAAATGGCTTATCCCATTAAAATGGCATACACCATTCAGGGCAGACAATTAAACTCGTCGCTTTTCTTCTTTACATTCTCTCTCATCATACCCTCCTGACAACTTATTAATATTATAATCATTATTACTATTATTATTACCGATATATATATATATATATATATTATTCTTCAAACTTAATCAGCTGACTGTTGTTACGCTTTCCTATTTCCGTTTCTGTCTCTTAGTCTGAATAACTTCGCTAATTATATCTATTATTATTATTACTATCTCTTTTCTCTTGTCGACGGTACCGAAGGACTAACTGACGAAAGGATCAACTCCAATCACAGTAGTAACAGTCCTAACACACCTCATACTACAAACCACATTTAATTAATCCCAGCACTACTCCCTTTGGAGTCAACCAAAGCTACGACAGTCGAGTGGCGGGGCAAGCTACGCAGAAGTTTACCGAAGATCAGGAACCTATGCCTTACAATCAAGAAGCGAGCACGAAGAAATCAAATTGGTTTATACTAGCTCGTAAAAATGATACTGGATATTGAAATCCAAACTAATTCCTCCTCCAAGCAATAGGAAGCGCTGAATATGGTCAAGATGTTAAGCATTTACTTTAAGGAATACGTTTTGGTACATGTGCAATCAGTGCACACTTGTGGTATACGAATCTTGAAAGCACGAGTGTCAACGGAGTTGAAGATTGAACGATCAATTCATGGTTGTTTGCTGAAAATCAACTTCCCAAATTTTTCGCGGAGGCATCAATACGACAGTCATCGTCTCATCGGTCGCTGTTCAGAAAGAAGAGTAAAACATCGTCAGAAACCTTAGTTCAATTATTATTTTTATATATTGGTGTTACAATAAAGAATTCCCAAGCGGCCATTCGGTGTTTTGGTTTTTCGTCCGTTATAACTAAGCGTTTCTGAAAACTTCAAGGAACAGCGCGGGCCCGAGCGTAGCAAGAGCTGAGCATTAACGGTTTATGAATCATGGCTGACAACCAGTGACACGTCATTTCCAAATTTTTCCTAATTCATCGGGCTTTTTTCGTTATCCACCTTCCAATATCCAATTTTTTTTCTGCACTAACTAGTATTATAATTCAGTTTCCGTGTACTTCGCAGTAAATTGTCATTCATGTAGCTTAGTTTATTGTGACTAATTCGTTCTTAACCTCATTTTATCGAAGGCTCTCATAACCTTCAAAGAATCGACTTTTCGCATGGCTGAACGATTACCTAGGCGAGAGAGAATTCTGCACAAAAGTCAACGCATCCGATCATCCTGGCACACCTCGGCATCAGGGGTTCCTCAGGGTTCTGTCCTAGGTCCGTTGATGTTTTTGATTTTTATCAACGACCTGCCCTCCCAACTGAACTGCTCTGCGCTTCTTTACGCTGACGACGTGAAGATTGGGAGAGCAATAAACTCATCGGAAGACTCAGACAGATTGCAGGCTGACCTGCAAACTCTGGGAAACTGATCTCCGGCTAACGGAATGCCTTTCAACCTAAAGAAGTGCAAAGTAGTGCAACTTCATTCCGACAGGTCACAGAGTGTAAATTACACCCTTGGTGGCCAGAACTTGAGTTGTGTTCCATCAGAGTGCGATCTAGGTCTTATTCTAACAGAAAAGCTAGACACCAGTGGAAATTACTCGAGGGACGTCGCCAAAGCCTACGCAACATTACACTTTATGCATAGGTAGCTGGGAGCTCTCACTCCCGAACTGTTCTTAAGGCTATACAAGGCATATGTGAGGCCGCACCTTGAGGTGCATAATATCATTGCACCTCCGCTACTCAAAAGGGATGCTAACATTCTAGAAGGTGTCCAGAGACGAGCGACAAAATGGGTGATCGGCCTCCGCAACAAATCATATGAGGAACGACTAAAGAAATGAGGTCTTTTCACACTTAGTTACCATAGGCACAGGGGAGACCTCATCACCGTCTACCAGATCTTAAATGACCAGGCCCACCCAAATAAAAGCATCCTGCCATTAAGTGATTATAGGCTTCCACGAGGTAACCCGCTAAGGATAGCACACCAGAGACCAAAGACTCGAGTGCGATCACATTTCTTTTCGCTTCGTGTTTGCCGTCTCTGGAACGCTTTACCGGCGGCCGTGACTACAGCGCCATCTCTGGAGATTTTTAAGCGGAAGCTAGACAATCATGCAAAAATGCAAGGTTTGTGCCTCAATGGCTTATCCTCATAAAACTTAGAACCACACTGTCAATGGATAAGCGTACAAACTAAATCCCCACGACCTATTCTGCCTTCTCTCACTCTATCTTTTCCTTAGGTCACCTTTATTATTCCACTTATCTCAACCTATATTATCTACACTACGACCTATGATTATTATAATTACTATTCTGCTTTTATGACTACACCGAATGACCAACGGGAGTTAGGTCAAACTCCATTCACGGCAGCAATACAGTCCTAACATACTGCATACTACAAACCACATCTTGACCAATCCCCACACCACTCCTCTTGGAGTCTACCAGAGCTAAAGCAGTCGATTGGCGGGACTTACTACGCAGAAGCTCACCGAAGATCTGGAACCTCTACCTCACAATCAAGCAGCGAGCTCAAAGAAATCACTGGTTTATACTAGCTCGTCATCAGGATATTGGATATTGGATTTCATTTACGCGGCTACATTGGTTTAGTGCGCTAACAGCTCTATTTTCATATCATTTTACGACAATCAGCTTTTATCATGTGAATTGCCTCTAGGCTGATACGTAGTATTGGTTTATATTAAAATGGAAGCCAATTATTATTTTCGTCTGTAAATATTTTTCTCTGGAATAATTACTAACTTGTAATGATTGGCAGAACCCCTAACACTCTTATTACGTACCAGCACATTCTCAGGGATACAAGGTTGTGCACTTTCCCAGTCAGAAACAGAACTACGTTTGCACTGTCTACAGGTGTCATTCCAAATATATACTTGAGACCGAGGAAAGAACGCACACTCGTTACCTCACATCACAATTTTGGCGTTCATCCCCTCCTGTTCTTACCCTCGCGGCTACACACTCATGGATCGTCAGATGTCGAGCCTAAGCTAAACGCTGAACAGAAAAACGTAAGTATTGTTTTACAATAAAGCCTTCACCCTTAAATATGTGTGTTCGGTATATCGATATATATATATATGTATATGTATATATATATATATATATATATATATATATATATATATATATCGTTTCACTACTGGTATACTTATAAATGGAGGGGTTGCAGCTGCACTCCAGCCACCTAATATACACCCTCAGGCTGAATGGAGTGTACACATCGGTTTCTCGACTGTGAACACGATCACAAAATGAGACATAGTATCAGGCCCTAAGTGGGGGGGGGGGGTTAAGATAATGATAAAGTATTGTTTAGAATAACTAGCGCTAGTCAGTGTGTAGGAATCCAACACACTTTTTACTAGCCTGATACAAACCGTTATTCTTTGTTTTTAAGAAAGAGGACAGCTGTTCGTGCTACCAATACTGCGAGACCACCTTGATTAATCTGGTATATGGCATTCCAGAGCCCATAATAATGTAAAGATTAAGTAGGTCTAGGAAAATCCAAACAGCCAGGTATGTTTCAGGCTTATTGGAGTGCATACTTAATTAGATCACTTTTTAATGTTTTCTGGGACATGCTTAAAAGTATGCTTAAATGATGTCCGCCACTTCCAATACCCAATATCCTTTTTACGAGCTAGTATAAACCAATTTGATTTCTTCGTGCTCGCTTCTTGATTGTAAGGCATAGGTTCCTGATCTTCGGTAAACTTCTGCGTAGCTTGCCCCGCCACTCGACTGTCGTAGCTTTGGTTGACTCCAAAGGGAGTAGTGCTGGGATTAATTAAATGTGGTTTGTAGTATGAGGTGTGTTAGGACTGTTACTACTGTGATTGGAGTTGATCCTTTCGTCAGTTAGTCCTTCGGTACCGTCGACAAGAGAAAAGAGATAGTAATAATAATAATAGATATAATTAGCGAAGTTATTCAGACTAAGAGACAGAAACGGAAATAGGAAAGCGTAACAGCAGTCAGCTGATTAAGTTTGAAGAATAATATATATATATATATATATCTCGGTAATGCCACGCTTCTTGGACTGAAGGCGAGTTTTTGTAGCCATATGCGGTTGCAAATGTAATAGTAGGACTTGGATGTTGTTGTATAATATAATCCCGTATAAGACAAGTGTAGAATTCAATGATAATATTTATAAGTTGACATTAAAATACTAATGGGAGACATGAACGCCAAACTAAGACCAGACAACACAGGAAGGGAACTCATCATAGGTAGGGAAGCTGTCCGAGAAATGAATGAAAATGGGGAACTCTTCGCCGACTTCTGCGCCTTCAATGAACTAGTGATTGGTGGCAGCGTATACAAACACGAAGATATCCACAAAGCTACATGGGTGTCACCAGATGGGTGAACCAAAAACCAAATTGACTTCATCTCAATCTCAAGGAATTTGAGACGCAGCCTACTGGACAAAAAATTAAGAAGAGGAGCAGACGTTGGCCCAGACCACTGTCTCGTACAAGTAACAATCCAAATCAAATTAAAAGCTTTCAGGGAAACAGGAGCTGCAGATAGACCGCAAGCCAAGTTCAACACTCAAAAACTGAAGGACCAAGATACAAAGGACATCTTCATTGCAAGCATAAGGAACAAAGCCGACACACAAATCAACACTAGCGAAGAAGTCGGCGTCGAAAAGAACTGGAACAACTTGAAAACGGTGTGGAGTCAAACGTGCATGAAAGTTCTAGACAGAAAGCAAAGGCAGGACAAACAGTGCCTCACTGCGGACACTTGGAAACTAATGGAAGAGAGAAGGATAGTGAAACAAAAGATTATCCAATGCACTGACGAGCAACAAAAACAGGAGATGAATGCAAGCTACAAGACGCTGAACAAAAGAGTGAAGAAGAGTGCCAGGGAAGACAAAAGAAAATATTATGAAGCCATGGAAAGTGAAGCAGAACAAGCTGCAGGCAAAGGAGACCTCGCCACATTCTACCAAACAACTAGGCACCTTTATCGGGCAAAAGTTCGACACAGATTAAGCCAGTCAAGGATGACAGCAGAAAGTCAATCACCAAAGAGGTAGAGCAAAGAAAACACTGGGCTGAACACTTCAAAAGACTTCTAAATCGACCGCCACCTACAACGCGCCCAACAATACCAACAACGGAAGCAGAACTACCAGTGAACATCGACCCCCCCCCCGACGAAATCAGAAGTCCTGAATGCAATCAAGATGCTAAAAGCCGGAAAAGCAGCAGAACCAGATGGAATCCCAGCAGAAGCATTGAAAATGGACCCAGAGACAACAGTGGACTTGATGACGCCATTGCTGGAGAAGGTGTGGAAAGAGGGCAAAGTACCCGCGGATTGGAAGAACGGATACTTATTCAAACTACCAAAGAAAGGAGACTGAAGTCAATGCAAGAATTGACGCGGAATTATGCTCTTGTCCATCCCAAGCAAAATACTAAGCCACATCATCCTGAAGAGAATCAAACAAGCCAACCTGGATGAGAAACTTTGACCGGAACAGGCTGGATTCAGGAGAAACAGGTCATGTATTGATCAAATCGCCACACTACAAATCATCATTGAACAAAGCTTGTAATGACAGTCACCTCTCTATCTCAACTTCATCGACTTTGAAAAGGCGTTAGACAGCGTCGATCGAGAGGTGATTTGCCAACTACTTCGCTACTACAGGGTGCCACCGACAATTATACATATCATCCAACAGTTGTACGACGATGCTGCATGCCAAGTAATCCACAACGGGAAACTTACGGAATCCTTCGAAGTGAGGACGGGAGTGAGGCAAGGCTGTCTACTATCGCCAATGATTTTCCTGATTGCAGTAGATTTAATAATGCGACAGACAGCTGGCAATGGGGAAACAGGCATAAAATGGACTCACACAAAACAAGAACTTGGAGGATCTGAACTTCGCCGATGATATATGTCTGATTTCCCACAAACTGGAAGATATGCAAGTGAAAAGTGACAAGTTGGCGATAGATGAAGCATCAAAGATAGGACTTCCTTCAGGTGAACGTAGAGAAAACAGAGGTGATGAAAATTCCTAGCCAACAACAACAGACAGCAATCAACATAAATGGGAGGAACCTGAAAAAAACAACCTTTACCTACCCAACTGGGACTCATCGTTTCAACTACAGGCGGAACTGACGAGGATATCAAAGCGAGGATCTGAAAGCAAGACAAGCTTTCATTACTCTTAAGTCTGTGTGGAGGTCAGCAGCACTTAACATGAAAATGAAAATAAGATCCGGATTTTCAACTCCAATGTGAAGTCAGTGCCACTATACAGATCAGAGACTTGGCGCGTCATAAAGAGCACATCAAACAAATTACAGACTTTCATCAACAGCTGTTTTCGCTCAATACCACTCAAGATCAGCAACAGAGATCTCTGGGAGCAAACCAACCTAGCAGGAACCGATTGTAAAACAAATAGGCAGGAAGAAATGAAGATTGATTGACCATACTCTGAGGAAATCATCAAGTGACATCACTAGGCAAGCCATCGCTCGAGTGGAACCCGATTGGGAAGCGGCGAGTTGGTCGTCAGTGCAAGGGTGACTTGGAGGAGGTCATGTGAAGAGGAGATGAAAGCGTGGGGGCAGACTTGGAGCGGGGTGAAAAAGTTGGCAGAAAACCGAAGGCAATGGAGACGCGCAGCTGAAGCCCTATGTTCCTCTAGGAATTAAAGGATATAATAATAATTTATAAGTTGATGACATCTTAAGCACCATTAATTGCTCATGATCATATCATTTCTAAAAGACACTGAGTCCCTACGAGCTCACTGCGAAAATTGACACCTATTAGTGCTTAACGTTTAAACAGTAGGCAGTTTCCAGTTTATCTGAGCCATCAGAATCCAGAAGTCTCCTATAATTGAAACTACAAGTCAGGTAGATGATATGGCGATAAAAAACTCTCAAAAACCTGGAACTTGATCCCCGATAGGATAAGTAATTTAGAAAAAAGCTCAGCAGTTGCACTGCATGCATTAACACACAACTACACAATAGGGTGGGGGAGGGTTTAATTCTAAGAAGTAATGTAGGTAGGTGGAGAGAGAGAGAGGGATTACTGAATCCTGGTTCATTGAATCTACACCCAACACATCACCAGTTAATATTACTATATAACACTGTGATTTATCAAAATAAAATCTTATCCATAATGGAGTTATACTCTACCACAGTGCTCAAGTTTTATACTTTTTGATCCTAACGACTCACTCCCCAGCGCAACTCTTATCGGAGAACTGTTTACGCCCTTTAGTTGGGTGTGGTGACGTGAATGCATCACTATAAAATATGACAGCCATTGGAATAGTAGTCTAATAGCCAACCGCTCCAAGAATATAGAATACTGTCATACTGCTCATTATTTGCACTGAATTCGACTAAGATTATGCTGGATTCCTTTGATCTTGTAGATATAATCATATGCTCGTCACCCTTGGGTCAAGTGAACAGTCGGAGAAAGTGAGCCAACGAGAAGAAAACAAAGACAAGCTAACAATCAACCTGGTGGAGTAGGTTCGCACAGGTACTCCTGCGGACGTTACTTTATGAGCTAAAAGCAGTACATTTTGGAACACGAAGTAGAATATAATTCAGCACTGCTGTGCATATGGCTGATGTGTAGTATTTTAATTATTGTGACACTTAATTCCATATGTGATCGGTGAAATCCTGCTATAATGGGTTCTTGAGAAGTTTATCAAAACACTGTGCACAGCAAAATATCAACCAGAACGAAGACAAAACAGCTTACCACCATTTTGTTACTGTTCTTGCAATATTACCATCGGTCATTCCCCCATCAACATTAGACTTTAACCTTGTTTAGTATTCTTAGTGTATTCAAACTAATCTTCTAATGAATAGAAGCAATGCGACTTTATTAAAAGGTTCATCTTTGTTGACAAACGTTTTTTAACCCCTATATTCTTCTATCCACAAGAATCAGGAACCGTTCCACTTATTGCATACTTTAGTTACTGCTATCCTAGCGAAGAGGTGTAATTAGTTATGCACTTTTGTCGCGTCATAATTTCATTTTATTAGTGTTTATAATATGACATAGTGTTACGTTTTAACTTCCAAAAGAAAAAACTGCACTTTTATGTGTGATGGTATTTTAATCCTATTTAGGTTTTGTCCGACTGGACCATTATAAGTCGGTTACTAAAATATGTGTGGCCAAAAGACAGACCGGAGATTCGCTTACGCGTTGTTGCAGCAGTGGTGTTATTGTTGTCTTCCAAAGTTGTGAATGTATTAGTCCCGTTTGTTTTCAAGTTGGCAGTGGATTGTCTTTCTGGAGAAACACCCTTACTGTTAAGCGACACAAATCCTGCTACAACAGCCACAACCATTTTAATTTCGTGTAAGAAATTTGTTTCATATTTATTAGTAAGAATGTAACTGGTATTTCGTCCGATTAATTAGTTTGTTTGAACTGGAACTGAAAGAGAAATAAACACACACGAAAGTTATTAGAATATTGGTTGCATATTTCCTAATTTATAATACAATAACTATCATGAATACCTACACATGTTTCCAGGAGTATACACCAGTTTAGTCATTGCTTAAGACCATATTCGTCTTTCACTGCACGAATTTTAGGAGTTAACAGGTATTCATCGGACCAGGTGCTACAGTTGTGTGGATTATTACAGGACACCAATACTCGAGGTGTTGTAGGCGTTGTTTATTGTAGGCAGAAATTCCTTATACATGGGCCTGAAATGAAAGAACTTCACCTCCAGCTGCATTGATTGGGGTGTAGTATGTGTCTAATCTGTCATTGTGGGTAGTTACCGTGCAATTAGTTCATTTTCAAGGTTAATCATTATGTTCTAAAAGTAACCATAAGTGATAGGTGGTTGGAGGCAGTCGTCTGGAAGCGTGGGTTTCACTTTTGTTGGTACTCATCAGCGAGGTGTATCTACAACTTCGATGGAACTGGTATTCCCCTAGAGATTCTGACCCAGGTCACCTAGTGCGGCAATCAGATACGTTATCATTCTTCTATCCGAGCTCAGTGTCTAGTCACCTGCCTTGAGGATCATATTACAAACCTGATTGATAGAATACATTCAGCACCAATGCAAGGGAGTTCAAACGGCATTTTTTACTCCGTAGTGAGTAATCAATATAGCTTTACAACCTTCCTATCTAACGCCTTATCCCTAACCTCAATATCGCTCACCACAGGAAGGTTTACTGCTTTTGTCTTGGTTTCCAATAGCATTCAGTTTATATCTTTGCAGTAAAATTAGTCAAGTATCAGTCATTAAAACATTTTAAACATTGAATGTAAGATAAACCGTAAATTGCTTAAAAGCTTTTTTTTGAGGTGCTAGTACAATATGTCAGTAAACTGTGGAACACTTACTTACTTTACTTTACTTCGGCTATCTCCTACGGGAGGATGAGCCGGCTTCATGAACGTCTGGAATCATCGCTGCCCAGGCGCGGCAATTTGTAAGAGAGTTCATGATGTTTCATGGGAATTTGGTACGAGTGATGTCCCCAGCATCGCTCGGCCTTTTGTTTGAGAGTGCAGCTCTAGCCTTTACACAGCCAAGTGTGACCTACAAGGCAGTAGGAGTGGAGTAAGGAGTCCACTATCCATTGGCAGCCGGTGACCGGAGTTCGGTTCATACGCCTTTTTGAATGGGGCCAGACATCCAGGACATCCAACAAGCCCTTTGTCCATACGTCTGCCGGTGAGCTCCAGTGAGCTTCATACGCCAGTCGCTGGAGGTTTGGAATCAGGGTTTAGCCATCTCCCCTAGACCGTCATCCAATGGACAGTCAACCCGGTGGAGAGCGCCGGGCATCCGCTTTCGCCCTCTCACTTTGGTGAGAAACACCTCCACCACGTGAAGGCAGTGAGTAGGACTTCCTCAGGAGAGGCTATGTAAGACGCCCGGTCATATGGGAGCATTTCAAGAGGTGTGCGGAGGGGTGGCCAACCCGCAGCGCAAGGCACCCACTCCCGACCATCCTGAGGCTTTGGAGGCCTGTGGAACACCGAAATTCGCAATGAGTATTATTACTAATACTCGTGCATTAAGACGACAAGTCCCGAATAGGACAAAATGTATCTCCTGGATTTCACTGCTAGTCACCATCCTCCAGTTTACTTCAAATTAAATAATCAGACATCGTCAAAGCATCTACATGGGGGACCTACGTATCAACCTGAAGGGAAGCAGTTCCGTCCAGTCTAAAGTCTAACTTGGGCGAAATATTTAATAATCTACTTCCTTTTGTTATAAATTTTATCTGCTTACAATTCACTGCTTTAATATTATTTCTTATTTTATCAGATGGTTTGTTCAGAGCTACTGCATCTGGTTTAAATGAATTACGTACTGCAGTTTTTGCTAAAGCTGCACTATCTTCAATTCGACAAGTTGGCGTTCAAGTATTTCGACATATGCATGATCTTGACTTAGGCTATCATCTTGGAAGGAGAACCGGGGCATTGGGCAAAGCTATTGATCGAGGAGCAAGGGGTATACAGTTTATTCTAACTTCTATGGTATTCAATTTATTCCCTACTGGATTTGAAGTTGCTGTTGTCACTGGCATTTTGGTTAGTAGTTAGTGATGTCTCTATTTCGTTTACCATAATAATAATAAATTTTGGATAGCGTTATTAGAAGTTATTCGAGTTTGTCTGAAAAAAACTATGGTGTATTTTGTGATGAAAAACACTCGGAACAGTTTAATCACATGTTTACCTGTCAAATCAGTCTATTTGAAAAAAAAAACACTTTATATATTTCGACAAAACAATATATAGAGACGTAGTTTATCCGAATCATGTGATGTATTTAGGCAATACATTTTAAACAATCTAATTACACATGTCCATGTCATAGGAATACAAGATATATATTAAGATATTTCATAGACTGTTTACCGTGAATGATTAGAAGTTAGCTTTAATGAGCTGTTAAATCCCCTCCGCGTGACTGGATAGTCTTCGAGTTCACCTTGTAACCTGAAGCTCCTGGGTGCTTAATGCAGAAAAGTTGAAGAAATTGTTACGAATCAGCTGTCTAGTACTCTTAAGGTGAAATTTTTGCTGTTACAAAACAAAATACTCTTTCCAAAGGAATTTTTCGAGGACCTTCATTTTGAGACAGTAACTCACCAAAACAATAGATGCTGTTGACTTTAGTACTACGGAATTCAGACATAAAAAAGGCACTGTCCTCTTTCCTTTTCTTTTTTCTTTCTTCTTACATGACTTGCCTCACTCTGATGAAATTAACTTTGTGAAGTACTCTGATGATTTAACAGTTTCAATGGCTGTTAACTCCCAGCTAGATTGTACCAAAATAAATAGCTTTCTGTCGGGAGTCAGTAAATGGTCTGAGTCTAACGGTCTTAAATTGAATCCTTCTAAGTGTCAAACTGTTAATTTCAGCTTAAAATGTAAAAGACAGTAAAAAGAAGCCGTCGATTTTCATGACAGTTGTAAGACTGACGACAATGATATAGGAATTAAATCAGAAATTAAGTATCTTGGACTTATTCTCTCTTCTGATCTCTCCTGGTCTCCCCATGTCTTAGCGATCTCCAGTAAAATATTCCACTTGACATTTTACATTAAGAAGTTAGGGCACTCGGGTATAACTCAACCCCTCCTCTTACAGTTCATAAAATCTTGCACCCTACCTATTCTTCTTTATTGTTCACCCTTATTCTTTCCTGGTTTGCTTAAAAAGGACTGTGTCAATATTCGTAGAATGCTGAAAACTGTCAGTAGGGTGAGTGGTGTCCCAGTGGACCACATAGTTAACGTCGTTGTCGATAGGCACTTGACTTCGTGCAATAAATTTGCTAGAGAGATTTTGTCTGACTTGGAGCTTCCACTTTACCCTCAGCTTTCACCTTGCATCTCCTCAGGTAGAACAAGAAGTAACTTCAGAAAACTTTATGCTCGCACGTCTAAGTATAAAAATTCTATGATACTATACTTGGCACGTATTTTATGTGATGAAAATAGTGTCAGGCAACAATTAACTAACCTTTTTTCATCTAGTAAATAAACGATTTCCTCCATCCATCCTTATATACCTTCAAGTTTTACTTTTATTATGTCTATTATATTTATGGTCCTGTTACTTCTCTGTTTTACTCTCATAATTGCAAACGCCAACTTATCTCCATGACGGCTGTAATCTTTGTTTTTCCCCTCACTATATCGTGTAAAGAGAACATTATATTCAATATTTTTAAACATGCTAGGACTCCTACACCGCATCGACTATACTGTGTAAAACAAGCCCACGGCAATTTTCACTTGTATTATTATTATTACCTTAGCTGTTATCATTATTGTTATTTCCATTTTATATGCTGCATGTTTTTGACACTACCTCTATTGTAAATGTGGAAGATTTTCTGTGTGATTAATTTTTATTTATAATTTGAGGAAATTAGATGCAATATTGTGATTAATGCTGAAAATTCCATTCTGTATCACAAGTACTGTTTTGGGAATAAAGTAAATCATTATTGTTATTATATAGTGGTCTCTTATTTATACTTAAGATAAAATTTTTGTTTTTTGCCTAACATTTAGTATTATAAATATGGAGTAGCAGCCAGTACAATAGCTCTAAGTTGTATAGCTGCATACACAGCATTCACTTTTGCTGTTACACGTTGGCGTACACAATTCCGTATTGAAATGAATAAGGCTGATGGACGTGCTGCTAGCCAGGCCACAGATTCACTTATCAATTATGAAACTGTAAAAGTAAGTAGTACAGTTGTGTTTTTCAAAAAAGTATTCTTTAATGAATGCGTCGATGTACGCGAGTACTTCACTTATTATACTGCAGGATTCTATTTGAGTTATATACATATATATATATATATATATATATATATATATATATATATATATATATATTATTTCCTTCACGTTCCTGGTGGAACATAGGGTCTCAAGCTAGTGGCTTGAAGTTTCTGTAGCAGTGTTTAATTTTACAGGATGGGGTTGCTAGCTTCATGCCCAAACTTCCCCCCTTACCAGCATTATTTCTAGTTCAGTGAGGTAAAGGAGTGCGTCGGCCGGGGATCAAACCCCGGACCATGTGCATTGTCGGCGAGCGTCTTATCCGCCGTGCCACCGACGCATATATATATATATATATATATATATATATATATATATATGGTGTCTTTTAATGCCACATCCTAGTGTTTTCTATATGTTGCGTCTTAATCTTTCATCTGTAGTTTGGTTTATGAAATATTAAAGCTCATTCTCTCACCCCCTCCCCTCCTTTCTGTCAGTTCAGTGTGGATCAGCCTCATAGACTTCGGATGAGATTATCATATTCAGCTTGTTTAAATAAGAAGCCTCCGTTAGGTGCCTACTAAAATATTAGATGAGTATGAAAATTGCGCTCTCTGTTTCACTGCACCCTTGTGTTTGGGACAGCTTTTCAGTAGATTAAGTATGCAAAATTGTTCTAGATGATATTATACAGTGAATTATTGGGAAAACTACCTCTTCATAGGCATTGAATGCCTTTTTGTAATCACTTGTCTGTGCACATTGCTGTTACACCACAGGGATGTTTTCAACGCCTCCAAAGCCTCAGGATGGTCGGGAGTGGGTGCCTTGCGCTGCGGGTTGGCCACCCCTCCGCTAACCTCCTGAAATGCTCCCATATGACCGGGCGTCTTACATAGCCTCTCCTGAGGAAGTCCTACTCACTGCCTTCACGTGGTGGAGGTGTTTCTCACCAAAGTGAGAGGGCGAAAGCGGATGCCCGGCGCTCTCCACCGGGTTGACTGTCCATTGGATGACAGTCTAGGGGAGATGGCTAAACCCTGATTCCAAACCTTCAACGACTGGCGTATGAAGCTCACTGGAGCTCACCGGCAGACGTACGGACAAAGGGCTTGTTGGATGTCCTGGATGTCTGGCCCCATTCAAAAAGGCGTATGAACCGAACTCCGGTCACCGGCTGCCAATGGATAGTGGACTCCTTACTCCACTCCTACTGCCTTGTAGGTCACACTTGGCTGTGTAAAGGCTAGAGCTGCACTCTCAAACAAAAGGCCGAGCGATGCTGGGGACATCACTCGTACCAAATTCCCATGAAACATCATGAACTCTCTTACAAATTGCCGCGCCTGGGCAGCGATGATTCCAGACGTTCATGAAGCCGGCTCATCCTCCCGTAGGAGATAGCCGAAGTAAGGAAGGAAGGATGTTTTCAACACACTCCAGTTTCTAGTTACAAATCTAGTGCTCTAACTACTGCTTAGCTTTTACTAAATGAGTGTTTATTTTAGGCCTCTTTATGTTAACGTTTTTCATAATCTTTTGGTGGGACAAGAAACATTACTATGCTCATTCACCTTCTATCATTTAATGACCACTCAGACAACAGCAAAGAATAGACACCACAGTCAAATGACCTTGAACCATCCAATCAGATCGCTTAGCAATCTTCGTTGCAAGTTTCACTCCAACCTTAATCATAACCCCACCTTCATCCTATCTCAACCTTAACCCTCATTTAGGGTGAAAATGCAGCGATTATGAAAAGCCGTCAATTTGTAATGCTGAGCGATCTGACTGGTTACTTCAAGGTCATTCAACTGTTCTTTACTGTTGCCGATTACCCATCTGATTTGCTTTTCTGTCGGATATGTAAACGTATGATGATTATTAACCCCAAAAAGAAGAACTTGTTGCTGATATATATTATCGAAGGAATTTCAATACTATACACTTGTTTCGCTTATGTGTGAACTTATCTTTCGAGAAGTTTACGTTAAAAAAATACACTCCCAATACTCGTGTTATTCAATTCATGGCACTCGATTGCCACCTATGCATACTGTGATCTGAAGGCAGTTAGACTCTAAAGAGGTTTGTTGATTTCAAAGTCCTCTGTAAAGGTTTTAGTAATTGATACTAGTGTAGTATTAACACGAAAGTTGTTCAAAGTAAAGTACAAAAGGTAAATAATCACCTAGATGTGGACTTTTTTGTCAGTCAATATAAATCTCATAAACGTCTGCGGTCTCGAGCCTTACATTTATTTGAGACCCCACTTTCTAGGGCTATTTTACGATTTTAAACAGATGTCAGAATGCTTCACTGACTAGTGTAGTAGGTAAACTATTTATCTGATTGTTTGACGCTTAGAACAATTAGCTACGTTGATTTTCATTCAACAGTCAATTTACACCATTTTTGCCTTTTGTCTTCTCTACTTGGTCAGTATTTCAATAACGAGGAACGCGAAGCAGAAATCTATGATAAACTTCAAGCTCAGTATGAAAAAGCCAGTATTAAGACAACAACTAGTCTGGCTGTACTCAATTTCGGTCAGGCTGCAATATTTTCTGTTGGCCTCGCTGCAACTATGATTACAGTGGCGAGTCAAGTGGCTTCCGGTTCAGTCGATCCAACCACAGCGGCTGGTGTGCTTGAAGCTACAGGGATAAGTAGTCTGGCGAAATCGTTAACAGTTGGAGATCTAGTTCTTGTAAATGGTCTGTTATTTCAATTATCGGTACCATTAAACTTTTTGGGCACTGTTTATCGTGAAGTGAGACAATCTCTTATTGATATGTCAACAATGTTTACACTTTTAGAGATTACACCTAAAGTTCGCGTAAGTTTCTCGTATATTCTGTCAACACTACGGTGGTATTTTGTTTTACTCTTTTACGAGTACTACTTACTTTAGTGAACGTATAAAGTTCTCATATTTCTTTAGCTTTGAACATAATTCTGTAGTGCAGCATGTTAGTCATTCTATAGATTAGAACTTGAAAAAAGCTAGTCCAGTAATTAAATGCCACTCAGTTAATCGATACAGATTTCTGTGTGATTGATTGTAGAACCCGTGTAGAACGGTGCGCAGTAGTGCACCATTCGCCAGACATTGATAAGGCACAGATGAAGTGAAAAGAGATATGAAAAATTCTCATGTATTGTGTGAATTAAGAGCACTTAAGTCAGTAAAGAAGAAGTCTCTCCCTTCGTACTTTCTCATCTGAGCTGTACAGATAACAATACAGGAAGTTAGAGTAATCATATATGACCAATGAAGAGACACACACCTTAAAGAGAATCTTCTGGAATGTGAAAGTAGTTGACACGTTAAATGATCATGTATTGTTCAAACAGAATCAAAAGCTTCAAAGACCACAAAGGTATCACTAAAAAACTATTAAGACAATAGCCACATCATAAAAGCAATGAAATGAAGTTTTTAACGAGTTGAAATGAAATAGTCAGTGCTTTTTATTACTGTTATTATTATTCCATTGGGTTCTCAGTGGAACTTAGGGTTTCAACTGCACATTTCTACTTTGTCCTGTTCTCTGTGGTTCTCTTTAGCTGGCCCCACGATTACCTATATTCTCCCATCTCCTCCATATCACCCTCGGCCTCCACACAAGCTCGTCATCTCCCATCCGGGATCCATTCGAGGGTCTTGCGTCCGATTTCATCAAAAAAAGGTCTCTTCAATGTGTGTCAAATCCATCTTCATTTTCTTCGGCATATTTGTTGAACTATAACGTTATCGGTTAGTTCGTTCCCATAGTCTTTTGCTGCTAATTTCTTCTGGCTATTTGGTTTTCACTAATGAGCGACGGCAGCTGTTGATAAAAGTTTGCTGTAGCCTGTTGGAAGTGTTTTTCGTGATACGTCAAGTTTCTGACCTGTATAGAAGAACTGTGGAGAGTTGGTCGTCCAAGGATGACTTGGAGGAGGTCATGTGAAGAGGAGATGAAAGCATGTGGGTAGACCTAAGTGAGGTGAATACTTTAGCAGCGAACCGAACGAAGTGGAGACGTGCAGCTGAAGCCAAATGCTCCTCTAAGAATTAAAAGAAATAATCATAACAATAATAATAACAATAACAACAAAAATAATAACAATAACAAAAATAATAATAATAGAAGGATTGACGTCACATTTTCGTTTAAAATCCGAATCTTGTTTTTTACGATAATTGCAGAAGATTCCCAAACTCACTTCAGATTATTCAAGGTATACCTCGCCTTTCCGATTCTGGCTTTATCATCTTCATCCGTTCCGACTACCTGTAATTGAAACGATGCTTCCTAGCCAGATAAGTGAAGAAAGCAACGTCTTTCAAATTGTTTCCATTGATAATGATTGTTGCTGGTTGGTCTTGTTGATGTTTCGGCGTATTCACCACCTCCGTCTTCTCTATGTTCACCTGGGGTCCTTTATTCGCAGCTTCTTCAGTTGGTTGGTTGCTTTTCACCTGCAAGTCTTCGAGTTTGTGTGACATTAGACGTAAATCATCCGCGAAATTCAGGTCTTTTAGAGTCTTTTTATCGATATAAAGTATGTCTGTCTTTTCACTCCCTATAGTCTCGCTCAAGATCCAATCCCCTATAATGGGAAATATCATCATACGTGACTCCTGTCTTCATGTTAAACACTTCACTGAGTTTTCCGTTGTGGATCACCTGATACGTAACATTGTCGTATAGCTGTTGAATGAGGTTGATAAAGATTTAGGGTATTCCATAGTGTCGAATTAGTTTCCAAATAACTTTGCTGTCAACACTGTCGAAAGCCTTTTCAAAGTCGATGAAATTGAGGTAGAAATTTGACTACCATCCTACACTTTGTTCAATGATTATGTAGTATTAAGTTCGTAACAATCTCATTTTAAACGTATAAGTCAGGCTTCATTATTAAGATGGTGACGGCTTCAGCTTTGTCTGTTTACTACCTTAAAAGATTCTAATGAGCTTACTTTGTGGGCCATCCAGGTAGCACTGTTAAACGAGTCTGAATCTTCATGCAAATCTTGCCATTAATAAACGTGAACAAAGTAAGAACAACAATTGTACCAGGATAATATGAGCTCATCTTTTATTATTTAATCGACGATTCTTCTCAACTGGTTACAACCTGAACGATAAAAAATATGAATTACATTACATTAAAGATTTGAACATACTCTTCCACAATCACAAGGAGTAATTGGTAGGAAGTAAAAGTAACATTAGTCCGGAATGATTTAACTAATTAACAGTTACAATTTCTAGAATAATTAGACAATTAGGCTTGGAAACAAAAAGCAGAGTTGTGTATATATGTGTGTGTATAGAAACAAGGTTTGGCTAGAAAGAGCATAACAAAAAAGCAGATTACGCAACTAAAGAAAATGTTTTGTCTAATAGCTAATAGAAAAAACAAGAAGGTAGGGTGGGTCATGTTTAGATGAAAGAGTAAAGTTTTCTAAACAAGAAAAAGGGTGACTCATAAAGTTGCAAGCATTAAGCAGTGCGATCGCGCATCATCTATTGGACACTGGTCATATTGTAGACAACTTGAAGTCGTTCAAAATAATCAACAAGCCAAAGAAACCTAGCCTGCTACGTTTTGCTGAAGCAATTGCTATCAAACAACTTAAACCAAATCTATGTACGCAGAAAGAGGCAGTGGTGAATCTTGCACTGCCTTGGTGATAACAAAATATAAAACCCTACATTGTTCTTTTCTTCTTTTTTCTATTGGCTACTAGATAAAACATTTTCTTTAGTTACGTAATCTACTTTTTTGTTATGCTCTTTCTAGCCAAACCTTGCTTCTATACACACACATATATACACAACTCTGCTTTTTGTTTCCAAGCCTAATTGTCTAATTATTCTAGAAATTGTAACTGTTAATTAGTTAAATCATTCCGGACTAATGTTACTTTTACTTCCTACCAATTACTCCTTGTGATTGTGGAAGAGTATGTTCAAATCTTTAATGTAATGTAATTCATATTTTTTATCGTTCAGGTTGTAACCAGTTGAGAAGAATCGTCGATTAAATAATAAAAGATGAGCTCATATTATCCTGGTACAATTGTTGTTATTGCTTTTTTCGAGTCTGATTCTCTAAGACTTAGGCTTATGAGCACGTGTTCAATAATCCTCGCCTACAACCATCCCTCTTTTCCTCCTACAGAATCTCCACCCCACTTGCACGTCACTTCATAAACATAGAGTTAGTGAGAGACGGAACTTGGTCTAGTGCATACTGTGTAATTGAACAGATTGTTTTATGCAGGAGGACCATTATTGCGGCTGTATACCTCCCTGATATTTCGTCTTTTATTCGTCTGACAGTTCTTTCTCCAACTTCGTCACCTTTAAATCCTAACTTAAGGGACACTGGTTTCTTCTCGACAGTACTGTACTCTGCCTTCTCCCGACCACGTCTATAGTGCATCTCTATGAATGCTTCTGGAAATCCACTATGTATATCGATTATATATGAAGACACTACGTGCGTAGCATCCGACTTGGTACATAAACTTCTATTAAATGTCATTCGTCTGAGTCTTATTCCTGTTTATCGACATGGATAATTTGTATCATATATTACTTACATCTTTAAATAATTTAATTTCCCCTCCCCCGTGTTTCATTCATTTTCGTGTTAGTCTCTACCGAATGCACCAAATCTACTCATTGATGGTTCAAATGCCTCTGTTGAATTTCGTGATGTTAAATTTGCTTACCATTCGAAAGATCCAAAAGATTCATTAATGAAACCTGGCAAATTCATCTGTGATGGTTTAGACTTTAAGGTGAGATGATGCATATTTTTATTTTATTTTTAAGTGACATCACTACTTAAATTGTTATCTTATCTCTCTCATTTGTTGCTGACAAGTCTTTTATACAGTTGGGAAGTGGAAATTCTACTCACCATGTATCAGAGATAGATATTGCAATATGAGAGATATGAATACTCAGGTTTTGGTTTATTATTATTATTATTTTCAAAACGCAAACTTGGCACATTGTGGACACCAATAGATGCATTACACAAAATTTCATTGTTTATGTTAGGACTGAGATTATTTCTCGGACGCCCAGATTGAAGCAGGTGATTGTCTTAAGTGATCATTCCCGGATCTTTTCACTTGATTTCTAATCCATAAGGCGGCGGGGTTGCGTTCTCACGGTTTCCGGTGACCAAGATAAGTCTATACTCCATTCTGTCCCTACAGATTCTGAAGCCCATGTACTTTATAGGTTTGGAACCACGATTTTCAAGCTCTCCTAGTAGTTGGACCTAGTTGTCCACCAGTCGGGTTGTAGGCTACAGATGTTTGATGAATTCGCCCTTTCACTTTTGTGATGAACACCGCAGCTGTCGCGTGAAAGCAGTGGACAGAACTTACATAGCAGAGACTATGAGTAAGTGGTCACATGAGAACATTTCGAGTGAAAAACTGGCGCCTCTCCACCCTCAGTTGTACACCAGGTCTTCTAGATGGACATAAAATTCGTATAAAATAATTGCCTACAATTTTAAGTTTCAGTCTTTTTCTCTTTGTTTTAAATTTGGTGTATCTATTGTCGCAGAAAATTAAACTTAGAAAAAAGGAGCAGTTTTTCTTCACTTTCTGGTCGTATCATCTTGAAGCATACGGTATTACATTCTTTTGTTGTCTGACTAACGTCGACCAAATAAGCAAACACTTCCTTACATGGCTCACACACACACACACACCAACAATCATAGACTCGTGTTATATCTTGGTGTGAACATATTTTAGCTCTTTTTATATTGTTACTATAATTCAGCTAACAACACAGGTCAGAATAGTTGGTAACTTGGTCTGCTTTAACACACGCACACATACACATTCTAGGCATTGCAGTCACTAAAGGCTTATAAATCAATTAGCTCATTATTGGATCCAGATGGTATTACAAAGTTATCGGTGACTTTGCATCTGAATGTCAGATTATATAAAATATGTTTGTTTTTCACTTTGGTATGCGTTGCAATTAATGCCTATTAACAATGTCTGCTGAATTGGATACCTGATGAGTACTCACCATTCATTCGTACATTTAGTAGGTAAAATAAAGTCAGTAGAAATTAGGCACTGTGGTAAAATGTAATCCCATATTAGATAAATTTATTTCAAATATCACACAGTGATGCAGTATTGACAACTGGATGACATTTCGAGCATAAATTATTGCTCACAACCATATCGATTTTAGTCACAAAGTTTCACAATTTATCTTATATATATTTTCTCTGTCCCTTCAACTTCCCCTTGTTGTTTGTTGCAATTTTCTATATCTCCGGTATGGGCGTTGCTGTAGGTTTAGTTAAATGTCTGTATAATTGGGCCGAGAGCCTAACTAAATAACCCAAAAGATTTAAATAATGAAATAAAAGAAATGACGGAAATATTACCATTGAATAAGTACCCACCAGAATTTATTCAGAAATATATGAAGAACCGTAGAAAAAATAATGGAGGTATCGGAAAAAATACAGGATTCAAAGCCTTTGTAGTACTGCCGTATAAAGAAGGAACGTCAGAAGCCTTATGTAGGATTCTCAATGAGGCTGGGATAAGGGTGGCATTTAAACCAACAAACCAACCGACTCTCTCAGAAATAAACTTTGTCAGCTTAAGCACCCGCCCGACTGATCCAATTAAGAAAAATAATATTCTTATAACAATATACAACAATTTACCAATCAAGTGGTGATATGTTTGTTAACAATAACTAGTCAGTGTCAAAATGTTCATGGGATGATAATTAACGGAAAAAATTATGTTAAATATTGCGCTGAAAATGTTGTCCAGAAGGACAGTGAAAGCTCCGCAACTAAACCAACCAGCTCAGAGAACACTATTAATTAAAATACTCTAAAAGCTCACTTCAACAAATGAAAGTGTGCACTGAAGATGTTGCTTGGCTAGGTAATGACAGCTTTGCTAATAAACAGTCCAGCTCAGAGAACACTTGATTACCAATGAGATGCTCACTGGCGACTGGCCCTATTCAGGTAGGTAGTTACCTAGGGTTCCAGTGAAAGGTCGTGACCAGTAGGGTGCAGCAGGTCGGGTATGAGGGCAAATACTCGCCGAAGACATTTGCTAGCGGTTGCGCTACATCGCGAATTAGCAGAAGTTGGAATCCATGGGCCATTGGATCGGGTCCCAGTGGCTTAATGGTCTACGAGCTCGCCATGTAACCAGAAGGTCCTGGGTTCGAAGCCCAGTGGGTGCGTACTGCTGAAGAGTCCCAAACTAGGTTGACGAAACAGCTGTCCAGTACTCCCAGGTTTTCCAGTGGTTCTCTAACTGATGTCAGCTCATGATTAAATCCCCCATGCAATCAAACAAAATCCCTACAAAACCAATACTTGAAAAAAGTAATATACACAATTAAAAGGTGGAAATGGTTACAACAAGTGGATTGCCTAATGCATAATTTAGGAGAAATGAAGAGTAATTTTGGAATAAGCGTGTGCACAGGTCGATTAAGTAACAGATCGTTAAAGGAAAATAAAACGAATTGGACAATGGTAATGTAACTAAAGTTGAAGTGGTCATAAGAATAAAGAAGAAATATTTACTTTCCAATTACATCCTCATCTCTGGCTCTACTCTAATATATATAGCATTTTTATTACAATACACAACAATTTATTATTCTTCATTTCTTTTTCTTTATTTCTTCTTTATTCTTATGACCACTTCAACCTTAGTTACAAATTATCATTGTCCAATTCGTTATATTTTTCTTTAACAATCTGTTACGTAATCAACCTGTGCACACGCTTATATGTGCATGTGCCGAAAAGCCTACGTTTCAAGGGAACAAACTCTTATAGTAGCGCTATTACCAGACATCTCCTCGACGCGGGTCATGAGATGGAAATCGAGAAATCCTTCAAAATTATCAATAGACAAAGGAGTTCCATTCTCCTCAAGTTTGCCAAAGCCATTTCTATCAAACGCTTGAAATCAGATTTATGCGTTCAGAAAGAAGCAGTTATTAGTCTTTCCTTGCCTTGGTAACTGGATGCTTTTTTTTCTCTCATCTGATTACGTAATCTTTGACTTTAACCTCACGCTCCTTTTATAATCTGTAATTTTGCTTGTCTCTTGTTTCTATGATTTGAGTTCAATTCATCACACCGTTACCTAACTTATTAGTCACTATGCATCTAACGCACATCTCATTTTAAATACGTAATTCCTTTACCATTATATGCATACATTTATTTTATTTTTTTTAAACTTGAACTGCCTGTGTAAAAACTATATAAGCGCAATTTTCTGAGCACTGTTTACTAATTGTGGTACTTTCTGTCAACTGACAACATGTAAAATTTGCAAGTATGTTAAAACGTTTCTGTACTTAAACCTCATAATTTATTTAGGCTGAGCTGATGAGAAGCCAGCGAAATAAACACAGGATGGTACCATATTATTCTGCACAAACCACTGTTGTTCTCGCTTTATTCAAATTCATCAAGGAGAATAAATGCACACACTTATTTTTTAATTGCTCTTCATTTTTCCAAAATTATGCATTATGCAACTCACCTGTTGTAGCCATTTCCACCTTTTAATTGCGTATATTAATTTTTTTCGTTAATTATCACCCCATCGGCATTTTGACGCTAAGTAATTATTGTTGACAAAAGTAATATTTGCATGGAGGATTTAATCATGAGCTGACATCAGTTAGAGAACCACTGGAAAACCTGGGAGTACTGGACAGCTGTTTCGTCAACCTAGTTTAGGACTCTTCAGCAGTACGCACCCACTGGGCTTCGGACCCAGGACCTTCTGGTTACATGGCGAGCTCGTAGACCATTAAGCCACTGGGACCCAATCCAATAGGTTCGAATCCCGGTGGGTGCGTACTGCTGAAGAGTCCCAAACTAGGTTGACGAAACAGCTGTCCAGTACTCCCAGGTTTTCCAGTGGTTTTCTAACTGATGTCAGCTCATGATTAAATCCCCCATGCAATCAAACAAAATCCCTACAAAACCAATACTTGAAAAGTAATATTTACCAAATACCATGTAATAACTATGAGGTCACTTACATAGGTGAAACTAGTAGATCGGGGTCAACTGGATTATCGGAACACAAAAATTTAGCTAGACCTACACCCTGTTAATTTAAATTACCTAAAATTAACAGAGTTCAACCATTGCACTGCATTCATTTGCATGTAATCACAAAATAGGGTGGGTGGGACAGGGTGAGAATATTAAAAAGTAATATATTTAGATGGAGGGAGAGAGATTAATCGCTGAAACTTTGTTTATCGATTCAACACCGCACGCGTGCCTTAGGAATGACGCAACACCTATTCCGGAGATATGGAAGGTAGCAACAAACAACAAAGGGAAGTTGGAGGGACAGAGAGAAAAATATATAAGATTGATTGTGAAACCTTGTGACTAATTCGATTTGATTGTTCGAAACGTCATCCAGTTGTTAGTACTCTATCACTGTGTGATATTTTAAATACATTTATCGAACATGAAAGTAAATAAAATAGTTCACATAGTGGAAAATAAGTTCATTTTAACCAAAATATTACTCCTTTCCTTAATTTACATTTTTTTTAGGTTGAACCTGGTCAACGTGTGGCTATCGTTGGTGGAAGTGGTTCTGGAAAGTCTACAATAGTTCGACTTACCTATCGGTTTTTTGATGTCGCCAGTGGTAGTGTACTTATCGGTGGTCAAGATGTTCGATCGGTTAATTTAGACAGTTTACGTCGTTCAATAGCTGTGATACCTCAGGTAAATATATCCTCCTGCTTACAAAGTCTTTATCGATCAGAATGCAAGAAGGAAATGACGCAATAATGTACAGTACAAAGTAATTTTTAAATTGTGTGTAGATAGTTAACTTTTTCAGTTGAGTTGCATATAAGATGAGGCGTTTTAAAAGAAGTAAAAGTCGTGGCTTCAGTTTTGAATGAGTTTTTAAACTCGGAACACCCTCCTGACTGGCGGATTCGATTTTCAAATCAGAACTTTGCATAAAAGTTCAGTGGTGGTTCAATTCGCCATATTTTAGAAGTGCTATGACAACACGATAGATGGGAATTTCTGTGTGGAAGAATAATTCCATGAGGAATGATAAGGATTTAATGGATCTGAAAGGTCACATCTGCATCTGCTGAGGATGATTTTAAGCCATGTTACCTACAATCTCCCATTACTGGTTCTTAGCCGCTTGACGACTCCAACTAGGTGGTCTACGTCTCCCTACATAGCTCATAGCAACAGGTAAAGACTTCATAAATTGGTGCCTCCGCCTAACTATTTCCCTACTTAATCTTAATTAATCAGCTAACATTACTCGACAAGGAGGGTGATGGCCTGGCGTACGAAGCATATATCCTAGCCATCTCGATTGACGCAGTTCTACAACCTCATAGATTAACTTTACCTCTTTTTCTAACACTACATGTATTCAGCAGACTTGTCTCTACAATACACGGAGCATAGAAATCGATACAACCACTTGAAAAGCTGGTGAAGTCGATTAGAAATTAGTACAAAGAAATTTGTAAAAGGATAGATAAATTTTCAAAATTTCCCTGGAACTCTTCATCAGTATGCACCCGTGACCCCACCGGGAAACGAACCCCAGGACCTTCAGGTTATAAAGTGAGCTCGTAGGTCATTCAGCCACTGGGATCCTATCCAACAGCTTGTGAATTCCTACTTCTGCCAATCCGCGAACTTGACTACAGCCTCTAGCGAATATCACCAATGAGTATTTATACTCACACCTGACCTGGCTGACCCTAGCGATCAAAACTTTCCACTAGAACTCCAGACAACTCTATCCCATAGTCTTCACCTCGCTACCGATCAGTACATTTCAGTTGCTAGAAACATACTCATGGTGTATTAAAGGTGTGTGTGTGTTAAAGGTTCATGATTCTGAATTACGTTGAAGTGCGTCGCCTTCTGTGTCTTTTTGATGTGAGATTCTATATGGGCTGTGTAAAAACAAAATATCAACAATAATATCATCTCCTCTTACACGGGTGAATTTCCTCTTTCCCCCACCCCATCCCCACCCCATATATGTGTAGGATACAGTCCTATTTCATAATACAATATTTTACAATCTTCAATATGGTAATCTGAAAGCAACACCAGAAGAAGTTTATGAAGCTGCTCGTTTAGCTGATATAGCCAATGCAATTGAACGTATGCCACATGGATATGAAACTCAAGTGAGTATTATGTTTTTAATTATTTTCAAAAGAATGGATACTGAACAAAGAATACTCTTTTCGATAACTTCATCACCAGGCTTTACAGTTATATATACATTATAGTGAATGAATGAATTACTGTTATGAACAACATTAATGCTGTTTAAATAACATCGAATCAATAATATTAATAGATTACAGCTGAATAGCATCAACACAAAATAATCCGAATGTCAGGAGAATTAGGAAAGATAATAGTACAAACTCATAAGTTTATAGTTTTTACTGAAGGCCAGGGCAATAGTAGGGCTGGACTTGCTTCTTTTGAACACAAAGCGCTGGTTGTTTGAGGCGAACTGCAATAGCCTCTGCTGCTTGGAGCCTGCGGTGCTTCGATGATTTTGGTAATTTATTAGGCACTCGGTATATTATAGAGACGGATTCTTCTACGCTGGCTTTATGGCCGGTTTGCACCAGATGGTCCAGTATCGAGCTGTTAATGGTTTTCACTACACCTTTACTTAGCCATGCTGGGAGATGTTCTCGAGCACTGAGAATCAAGTTCCTAGAGCAACGGCCAATATAACTCGCCCCATAAGCGCAGTTGAATTCGTAGATACAATTTGAAGTGGCTAGTCTAGGTACTTCATCTTTCAGTCGAGGTAGCACCATCCATCGGTCGTGTAGAGAATAATACGTGTAGTTCACCAGCATTAAAAGTTCTTTGAACTGATTTTCTTAATTTCTTCGCAATTATCTCGTCTGGTATATCGCCCTTGAATTGTAGTCGTATATAAAGAGGCTTCTTGTTTACAGATAGTGAGTAGTCCTTTTCCGCTTTCTTTGTCATGTGTTTCTTGGTAAATTTATCGGGATAGCCATTTTCGATCAAAGTATCATATATAATGCTTAATTCATCTTCAATTACTTCTTCTGAGCACATAGCTCTAACTCTGTGGCTGAGGGTCTTCACTAAACTTCTTTTGTACTTGATATGAACGAAGCTGTGAAAATGTGTATATTTGTAACAACAGAAGACAAGGGCCAGGCAACAGATCGTTTTATTACAGAAATCAGCACGTATTTATATATATTTCACATACATTGTTTTAGCTTATTCAAGTAGACAAACGCAGACTTCTGATTGGTTGTTTCAGGTAACCATCGAAAAATGGAGCCAGTTATCTGCGAATCATATTTGCCCACGTTAAGTTTGCTGTGATTGGTTGTTGAATCAGCCTTGCTCATATTTTCTCACTGTCCATATTAGGGACCTAGACATTGGCGTAGATTAGTGTTTACCAATTGGCTAGCAGCCTGCTCTCACCACAGTCGTCCCTCGTCAAAGACTTGCGACTGAAGTCGGCTTGATCTTCTTGGTGCGGGCGTCATCGTTTGCTTGTCTCGCTGTATCCATTTCTGGAGCTCTCTGACGTTCACGCGCCTGTCATTGTTCGCCAGTGCGATTGTGTGAATAGGTAAAACGGAGGCGGTCAATTACAGTTTGAATTTCCTCAGCTAATTGGACTTTAAGTTGTTTTTGACACAGCTGTTGTGGCATTTACTCTACTAGGCACAATAACATCCTTCATTAGCTGTTATCGTCACCCGTTACTTTCAAGGCTTTTCACTAAATATTCATTCTTAACTTGTGAATTTTATTTTTGTCATCCTTTACAGTTTTATTTGCTTGAATTTATTCCTATCTATATTATATATAGGTTGGGGAACGTGGTCTCAAACTGAGTGGTGGTGAAAAACAACGAATATCTATTGCTCGAGCACTATTGAAAAAAGCACCAATTTTGATTTATGATGAAGCGACATCATCATTAGATACAATTACTGAACAAGTATGTCTATTGATTGTAAATGTAAATATGATTTTATTATTGTGTTGATGGAAAAATTGAGTGTTTTTTATGTATTTTTAAGTGGTTTTTTTTCAAGCGTTAGTTTGTGGCGATTTAATTTGTTCCAAAATGAAATACGCTCTGAGGGTGTTGCTCAGTAGGGCGATAAAAGCTTCGCAACTAAACCATCCAGTTGAGAGTGCAAAACTACACCAAAATCATCCCCATGAGGTAAAAATCTCCTCCATTATATATAATTAGTTTCCAGTTTTTATCATGGATTGAGATCAGTTACAAGAGCATCGAAAACCAGGGAGTACATTTTATGGTTGTTTCGTCCTTGATTGTGGTTCTTCAGCAGGATGCACTTGTGACCACAGTGAGGATCCAACTCAGTACCTTCAGGTTACGTGACGAGCCTGTTGACCGTTTATTCACTGTGACGAAATACGGCGGCACATGATTTGTGTGAGGGTTGATGAAGCTACCCAATTGACGCCCTTCCTGGTCGAGTATCTGGATTATGATTCAAACTGGAGAACCCATCGGCTAAAAGTTGAACGCTTAAACTAACGAGCCACATCTCCGCTTTCTAAAAGATACAGACAATATTGGTGATTCAAAGAATATTTTTATTTTCCCATTGTTGCGTTACAAGGGTTTGATTGGTTTAAAGATTGGTTATGAACTGACCTCAATTCGAGAACTGTTAAAGACAAGCAGGGAATACTGGATATACGTTTCGTCTTCATTTGGGACTCCTCGTCAGCACTCACCCATGACCCTGCAAGTTATCATAGCCATGACCTGCAGATTACAGGACGCGCGGGAAACCAACAGGCCATCAATTCAATTATTTGCCAATTCGTTGTATACCGCGCGATCACCAACCAACCAGTGCCATCGATGAATAGTTCCCCTCACACCCAGCTATTAGGCCCCGCTGGAAAGTCGTAACCTAAAAGTCCTGAATTCGATCTCTGGCGGGGTGGTCATGCATGGTTGCCTACTGATGAAGAGTCCCGAACACAGTCGATGCAGCTGTTCGGTGCTTCCTGGGTTTCAGTGATTCCCCAACTGATCAAGTCTTGAAATATTTTTGTTACTATTTATTATTTAGCTATCCTCTTATACCTTGACGTGATGCTCGGGCTTGAACACCGCAATGACCTAATCAAGCTATAATGGCTGAGAATTATGTCTCCTGAGGTCCTACCATGCCAGAAAGGTTGTTTGGATAGCGGTTAAACAAAAAGCAGCTACCCAATCCAACATCATGATAAATACAAAATCACAAAATTTCATGCCGGACCGGCCGTGGCCCGGATTAACAACGGCCGCACTTCCTGCTGCAGTGTCACAGGGCAGGAGTGATAAATATGCTACTGAGACACACCAAACAATAAAGAACGAACAGAAACAGGCCGCGTGTGACCGGCCTCAAGCAGTTGTCCCCTGGGCTCTGCGGTCACGCGACCAACATCCACGGTGTGGGCAGCCGGGAAGTAACAATCGCCCTCACAAACCGAAATGCACCGTATACATTAATACCAAGCGTTGTATTTATGTTTTCGCTTTCAAAGAAAGAATCTATGTAGATTTGTATTTCCGGTAAAAAGAGAAATCTTATTAGTTTGCTCTAGTCAGCAAATAATTTTTTTTAAATATCTTTCTTATAAAATGTTCTGTGAACTGCTTATTTAGACTATTCTTCAACGCCTAGCAGAAGTAACACCTGGAGTTACATCAATTGTAATTGCCCATCGATTGAGTACTATTGTGGATGCAGATGAAATCTTAGTATTACACAATGGTCGTGTTTCTGAACGTGGTACTCATTTCAGTCTTCTTATGCAACCACATTCCTATTACAGCCAACTGTGGGAACAACAGCTGCGAGGTGGTATTACATGCTACAGTAACACAACAGGCCAAAAACAATTTAGTGATAACAGTAATAATAATAACAGCAGTGAATTCGATAGACAGTTACAAACAGAAAATAAGCCTTCAAGTATATAGAGCATTATACTAACCATATTATATATATAGCCTGTTTCTTTTCAATTTCTTGAATTATTTTTAATCTTTATACAGTTTCGTGTAATTACTACATAATCGTGATTATAATTATATTACGGCCAACTTTTCTACACTTGATTAGAATCTTTTTCAGGCTTACAATAACTTGTTTTTAATAACATTTATAGAATAAAATATCTCGAAAGAATAGACCATAAATTCCGTACATTTTGGCGTCATTAAATTATATCCCTGGTGGTTTTTACACCCTCCGGTTGCAGATAGTTTTACTAGTCGGATAGATTTTTCTGGAGGCGTTTTGATCAAACAAGGCATGAACCATGGAAGTGATGAACAACTGCCTGACCATTAATTTTGATTTTGAAATAGTTTAACAACAAGTCTGTTTTATACAGGACTGTATAAATTTCATAAGAATTGACTTATGCATATGTAACCAAAATCTATTTCAAACGGCCTTAGTATTCTGGAATTCTATGACTGTTTGAAATAGATATATTGCACAATCATTATACTCCATGTTGTGCAGACCAAGGGATCCAACAAAAGATAATATAAGATCAACACCATTTACAAAGTGAATTGCGATAAACACCATATCGGTCAAAGTGGGCGTCCTCTTCAAGTTCTACCGAACCCAGGAACATAAATTAGCTGCGAAAAGGTACGATATGTATTCTTTCATATCGAGGCGGATAGATAGTTGCGTACACGAACTTGATTGGGAAAATGAAGAAATTTTAAAGAGAGGAAACACCAAAGACTCCAGTTAAATTTCTAGAAGCCTAGTATTCGTAAGAATCAGTGGTTGACAAACATACTACTATAAAAAAAATTTACCAACTAATAAAAAATAAATCACATGACAAGAAAGTACAAAGTCCAAGTCAATGAAAAACGATCAATAGTCACAAAAACGGCTGTCAAGCAATACTGTTATATTATGCTTGAAGAATCCAAATAAGTTCATTTCACATATACTACAGGTTCCTTAAGTACCCACGATGACAGAAACCCCGAGTCGACGAGTAACAATAGACATCACGGAGCCAGTTATAGAGTCGCAGCTTCGGAGTTGGTACAGTCTGTTGACAGCTGGTTACTTTCACAAACGACGCAAACCTGTGTTGCTGCAGCAGCAAGATTCAGTGACGATGGGTTACTCATTGAAAGAGACACGGTTGTCTCGCCTTGATACTCCACGGTGATGCTTCCAAAAGCGAAGTCATTACTCTAATATAGTTGGCAGAATTCAAACTACTCCACACCACCTTAATAGTGAACGCTTCCGTGGAGCAGACTGAGAGAACAAAGAAGAACTTACCTCAAACCTTCATTCGTCAAGGAAACGAACTCACTAAACGCGATGTCCTACCTCAACCCTTGTTCGCAAACGGCTGTCGCACTGGTGAGGATTCCCATGAATTCATCCTGTTTCTTTTTGAGCTCCGCTTGTTGCCAGAATTCTTGCGGAGGCGTACGACAAACAAAAAAGTCAACTTCGCCACACCTACAGCTTGGGAAGATCATCAGATAGATTTTCCATGTTGTGTACAGATAAAACAACTATGACACAATAGCAACAGCCACAACCAAAGAAGACGAAGAGAGGTGTGTATTTCAACTAACCAAAGCTTGGATTAAGCGAGTACGAAGCTAATTGTTATCGTTTATAATAAGCGCAGCCAAATGGTCCTACTCTCCCTCCAGTAGGGTTACGCCAACGTTTCTTTCTGAAAGAGAAGAGAAAGAAAACTTATTTAGTGAAACTATGTTGGTTTTTATCTCATTACAGTATATTTTTGAATTTTCATGTAATCGTGCTACTATATTTGGCCTATTAAATGAAACGCAATTCTCCTCATTAGTTTAGTAGTTCTTGACATTCATGGATTAATTTCAGCATTATTTTCTCTTTCCGTAGTGATATCACCCTTAACACACTTGTAGTTACACGTGCGAGCTTCCTACCTAGTCGATTCGCCAGCCTATTGTTCTAACCACCAGTAACAGCAACAATGAAAACAACAACACTATGTGATACCACTAGAATTGTGACTCAGGAAGAGAAGACAGACTGTTGACAGGGAGACCTTTTACTGTCTCGTATCAACAATGAAGATAGTTGACAGTGCTTGAGTATACATATACCTCAAATGACCTTGGAGGCCACCAATTACACTGACAAGCAAAACAGCAGCCGATAGGATTTGAACGTCACAGGTGGGATGAGGGAAATACATGTAAACGTACATGTAGGAATTTGGGTCTATATATCACATATACGTAGCACAGGCTGCTTTTCACTTTAAGACACAAGGCATTGGCACTATAAGCACAGTGTATAACATTGTTGTGAGCTTATTTTTCAAGTGGCATTTATTTTGCAGACTGATTTAATTGCGATAATATTCTGATCTCATGAACATAATTCAGGCTCCTGCGTGATGGGAGGTTATTATCTTAGTCAGAATAAGAACAAGTTGTTCAGAAGGTAATGGAAACTACATTCCCCAGTTAATTCGTATAAACGCTATGGCGCATCGAGGTGCACTGCAGCTTTACTTGAAGTAAGAGATGATGTATGTCTAGCTCCTCTCTTCAGTATGAGAAAGTTAACAGTGCTCAGGGATTACTTCACAAGATTCTGTCTATTGAGTTCAGTAAACAGGAATAGGAGTTCTTCCATTTGACTGGTATCTGAGTGAAGTTATGGAATTTAAATGCCTCCATAGTGATACATTTGTCTTGGGGACTTCATAGTGAAATCAAGTGTATATGTTTTGCTGGATCTTATGTACTTCCTGCATAGATTTGATGTAAATTTAACAATCGCTGTAGGTTACAGCGAAGTAGATGTCATATGTCAGCTAGAAAAAGTGTGGGTTGTATAGAAAACGCAGTATTCCTAGGCAGCTTGCACACATTATGCAGTGAAGAAGTCCATACAAAACCATAAATCTCAGGAGTTGAAGTATAATTTTGGTAGTCTTTCGTTGTTCTTATGGAATGGAGTGAGAAACTACATGTCCAGATTCACGCATCGAGCAGTAGGAATTCTCTGGTTTATTTCTGCATTGAAAAATACACTGTTTACTCATCCAGCTTTCGCATGCGCTGCAAGGAGTATGAGTTTATTGTGAGCGGTGCGGAAGCAGTTTACAACTGCAGATGTAACCATAATCTTATGATAAGTTATCCTTGTTTTATGCGCCTCTTCGTGGATGAGAAGGAGGATGTACCACCTATTGTGAAAACTCATCTGAGCTTGGCGATGTTTTATAATACGTTGACGAGAAATCCAAAATGATTTTATGAACACAGATTAACGTAATTTACGCAAGCTTGTAAGCCCGAGTATGTAGTGCTGTTTATAATTACTGGTAATAGTTATGTCTTTGATACCGTATGTTATGCGCATAATACGGCAATATGGCGGGGTGATTGAGTAGATAGAATCAAATGCAAGAGTAACTAGTAGAACTTGCTACCCTCTGCATTCACAACACAAAATGACGAATTGTTATGGGTATTGTATTTATTATGTATGGAGTGTTTTCACAGGCATACTACATAATACAATATCAGGTCTTGCGTGCCACTGCATCTGTCAGTGTCTAGGTCTAACTACGCTGGACTTCACACTGTCCTTGGAAAACTTTCAATAACCAGAACACAAATTGGTGACTCAATAACCGTTTATTCTTCCACCAATGCAGAGCCAACAATTAGGTTATTGTACACAAAGTCCAAGAATAAATGCCATAACAATAAATCATGATAATACTTCTGATAGTTCTTCCAACGAACGATGACTGCAGAATCAATGACTCCCGCCAAAATATGGAGGAGTTGGGTTTGAGCAATCACACTTCGCAGCAATAAAACAATCTATCACGACCAATACACGTTGACTTGGATGCCATTGTGAGAACCTAGGTCACACAGACAAAGCTGAAATGGAAAACAAACAGAAAAGCCAACACACCACAAGCATACCCACAGCACAATCTCACACATCGATAACGACCTACGCCTTCGAATTAAAGGTATCCTCTTAACATATTGCAACACAATCGCCACTTACTGGAACGACTCTTGCAGAACGCAACGTGACCATAGCAGAACCTTATGACACTCTTCGCACATCCTCCTATCTATTCGCTACCAATTACCACTGCGATCGCTTTTCGCTCATTCTACCTCAATTCTAGTAACGGTGACGCATGCGAGCCTCAGTCGTCTACACTCTCGCTCCCCGGCGTGTGGGACCACAGCCTAAAAAGAAACATTCATTCTCAGTCGTTGATTCCCAGATAATCCTTAACTCTGTGTGCATGTCATTCTCATCACTAGCCTCCCCAGTGTATACGACCCACCTGCTGTCTTTATGTAGTAATTTACTGTACTTGTAATATTAGTATTTCGATCTGACGGAATTATAAGAATCTAAACAAAACCCAGAGAGGGCAGCAATCAGGAATTTGTATTTAGCGGAATTAGAATGCAATTCATATATGAAACATATCAACAGTCAACAGTGAGTATTTTAAACAATACAGAGATAGAAATTGTCAATCACCACAATTTAACACCAATCAATTCATTCACGGACGTTGAAGGCTCAAAACAACTTCAGAAGTAGGCACAATGACAATTTTAACAAAATTATGCAATACAACAAGGTACGATAACAATAAGTAAACACAGTGAATCCAAAAACATCAATTGATATGACACACCACACGTTTATACAAACAGTACACATAACCTTGTCTTTATGTAATTCCTTTGGAAGAATTGCAGGACTTACACCAGTGCTCCTGCAACCCTTCTCAGGTTGACGATTGTAAGTTGAAGAATGTCCGGACACAAACAAGATTAACCAACAATTATACTAGCTGGAACCCATTCAATTACTTCGCACGAACATATGTACAAAAAATACGTGTAGTTGAAGATTGAACGGTCAATTCATGGTTGTTTGCGCAAACCCAACTTTTTCGCGGGAGCCATCAGTCCACCAGTCATCGTCTCGTCGTTCGCTTTTCAGTGGAAGATAGAAAACTATCAGAAGTATTACCGTGATTTACTGTTATAACATTTATTCTTAGACCTTATGTGTAATTACCTTATTTTTGGTTATATGTTGGCGTAAGATTAAAGGATTCTAGAGTCGTCAAACTGTCTTCTGGTTTTTCGCGTTGGTTATTACAAATTGTTTCTGAAAGTCTTCCGGGGACAGCTTGAGGTCCAGCATAGTAAGAGCTGGATTTTGACAATTTCTGAGAGTTGGGTTTCAACATCAAATATTCTGGATTCTGCCTTGGCGAGCTACCCTTGAAGAACAGTAGGACTTACAGCAGTACGCCTACAACGCTGCTCAGGTTGACGCCCTAGGTTGGAAAATCATCCTTGAGTTCATTTGCTGACCTCCTCCTATCATCTGTATCCTCAACTCTGAACGGTGGCACGCCTACCTCATTGTATCGTAGAATGTAGATGACTAACAAACATACGACGTATCTGACCAAACAAGCGTAGACACAGAGTAATTTACACCAAAGATAATAACATTCACATAGTAACTTAAATCTGGAAAGGCCTTTATTTATGCAAGCCAGTTTAATAACTACGCTCTTATACACAATTGGCTTATCCTCACTAAACTGACCGCTGACATTCGTCTTTTCAAACGGACCGATACCATTATAGTCATAGCACAAGACACGTGAGTCCATGGACATCCCTTTCTTTGTGGATGACAACACCAACGACTACTGACTGATACCAGTTGGTGAACTTTGCGGTGCATCAGAAGCTGTTGTCGTTCAACATTTACAAGGTTGTCTAACTGCAAGATTACCACCACTGGTATCTTTTAGCACTAGCCTCTGATGATACGTGTGCTACACGCTGATCATTTACACTGACGGTCTCACAAGTATCGATATCTTCTACAACCGCATCTGCCCTTAATACTACCTCACGTTCAAGTTGTACAGAACCTTTGTTCAACTCAGTAGTAGTAGGCAATCCGTTCGTTTGGCTTTAGTGTCACAGCGAATACCAAAAAGCTGCTATTATTTAACGCCTAATCTCACTCTTTTTGCTGTTGTAAAGCAAATTAGATGCAACATTGTACCAAATGCTGAGAATTCCACAATATGCCGTAAGTATTGTTCTGGAATTAACTAAATCGTTATTGTTAAAAGTCCCTCATCTCACTGATTTGGATTCCTACCATCTCATGCCCGTGTGGCTGACTCATAATTCACTGTCGCTTCTTCGGTGCACTCCATCTAGTTAACGCGGGAAATTGAGAAGATGCGTATGATATTTAGGTCACGGAATTAATAAGGATATGAACAGACTAACACTGCAAGCAGATATGGCTGTAGGCATTTGCGACGAAAAATACTGACCGACAACTTAGCACACGAGTGCAGTACGTTTTCTAGCAGTGTCAACCGATTTAGCTTCACAACCTCGTCATCTGATTTACCCTCCTGACAAACACTATACACCTAATTAGTATACAATGGGTGGATGGTGGCTAGCAGTGGAATCCAGGATGCGCATTTCGTTCCGTTTAGGACTCATCAGCTGGATGTACCTGCATTTCTCAGTGAGTGATGATGTTCCCACCGAGGCTCGAAGCCGACATGTCAACCTGAGACCGAGCAGTTCGGTCCAATCAATCGAAGGGAAAATCAAAAAAATTCAATTTAATAGCTATACACCTAACCCCATTATTACTCAACATGTTGCATTACTTCACATATGGGGTACAGCACGGATATTTACGATCAAACACCAGTTTCATAATTTTCAACTTCAGTAGTTGCCTCTCACTGTCTAGGTGGATAATACCATCAGCATACTCTAAAGTGACGAGACTGTTCCCTGAGAAGTCGCTTAATTCAGTAACAGATAATTCTTTCAATGAATGTATGATGCAATTAAAATAAGGAAGACAGTTGCTGAAGTGAGCCTTGGTTACACCCTTCTGGGAAATGTGACCCCAGATAATAAAGTTTTGGTATTAGGTGGGTAGAACTGAAAACCGCTGCCTAACAGAGTTCAAAAACTTACTACTTTAGATTATTTTCATATAAATATGCATTTTCAATGCTACTTAAAGCATTTCGGCTGCATCAAATTATTAATCGGGAATTATGCCTTGACAAGATCACTAAGCGATTCCCCCTCCATCCCTCTTTTTCTTTTGTGATGTATGAATCGATGGCACATCTGTTTTTCTATCCAAACTGAAATATGAAGACATATTGAGAGGAATAAACTACTTAAAATACAAACAGAGTGAACCCCACCCATTTACATTTGATAATACTTTGCTTTGGTGTCCATTGCACCAAAACTAACATAGATATTGTAGATAATGCGTCGGTGACACAGTGGTTAGGACTAATGCCGACTATGCACATGGTCCGAGGTTCGATCCCCTGCCGACGCACATCTGATATCTATGGTCGACCTGCAAAATTTGGACTACCGATATCTATCCTGAAAATTACATAATTGTACCAAAATACAGTGTGGAATCAAGCTGTAATAAAAAATAAATAAATATTTGACTGACTTACCACTCTATGAAGACATGAAGGTGCGTTGGGAATGGCGGTTTCTGTAACTCCACTAGAAAAAAATAGGTGCGCCATAATTTACCGAATAATACAGCATCATCTTACCTTGATATAAAAACCCGATGGATTTATGTAAGTAATTCGCTCGAGCTGATTTTGTTAACTTTCAAGTTTGATTGCGCTACATAACTATCATCCAACACCTGTCACCAGTTTTCCCAATTTCTTACATTCTACCCATGCCTCAAGATGAAGTCTACCCACTTTCTCTCGTTCAGCCGACTTTCGAGACTGCCTGTGTTTCTGCGAACATATCCCACATCTGAAAAAGTCTTCGATTAAGCAATTTTTCCACGAAACTCATTCAAGCATCTTGCTACACAAGTAATGTATTCACACTTAAAAGTAATATGGAATGACTATTTTTAACGAAGTCTGCCAGGTTCAGCCCAAATAAACATCGAAATCAGGTTAAATACGGCTGCCTGAACCAAACAAGGCAAACTAGCCCAACTTGAACCAACCAAACTAAGCAAACGCCATTAAAATATTAAGATGGTGCCACTTTCTAGAGGTTATATACCGTACAGACGCCACAGGAAGCGATGTAACAGCATAGAAGCCTGCAAAGGTCATTTTCGGAAAAATACCTTTTCTCGTTCTTATCAAGAAAACATGTAAAAGTCAATTATCTCACGCAAGAGGAAAAACGACTGTTGAGACCTGATGTAAACGAGGACAAAATACTCATTGTTTGTAAGAGCTTGGATAGCACATTTTAATTTGATGGAACTTTCCATCTCTTGTGCGATGTGCTGGTCGGTGTGTGGCAACACGTGATGTGATTCGTTATGGTCTCACTTTAGGAAACCCATCGCTGCATCGTACCATATAGCTGCCCAAAACCTCTTTGAGACACACTCAGTTACAAAATATTCCAAAGCCAGTGAAAAAGGTGATTATTTTTCAATAATTCGAGGTTCTATTAAGCAATAATAGCGCCAAAAACTCGAAATCACCAAAACGGTGCCATCAGGCGGCTATAAAGTGCAGTTTGAGTACAAAACGAATGCTTAGAATCAAGTACAGGTTCCACAAAAAAGGTGAGGTCAACATATCGTTATAAGAATCCCGCCAACGCTTCCCGCAGAAAGTTCAATGTGAAAATGGCCTTGATTCACTGGAACAAGTTCACATTGTACAACACATGAATAGATTCACATAGCCAGAAAGCAAAATGATAAAATAAGGGATATAACAGAAACAGACATAAACAATAAGGGCTAAACTCGTACTTGTTATGCGAATGTCAGGAGAATGATTTACAACACAACGGAAAATATGTAATGTATAATGTAATGTTCGTCGAAAGGTCAAAATATGCATGAATTCTCTAATTAGGCCGTCCAGGAGGGATTTTCAAAACAATTTTTCCATTAAAATACGTGCCCAGGTAGATTTTCGTTCCACTACATTTTGATGGCTATTCGCTTCGGACGCCCAGATTTACTCTTGTACCTATCTGTAGAATGATTTAATCACGGTCAATGTAAGCTCCTGAGAATTAGAGGAACCATAGAGGAGACGTAGTTCCAGATGGCTGAAAAGACAATTACTAACGGTTGGATACATTTGGTAAGTTGTTTGAAATTTCACTTGGTAAATGTATACGATGACTTTTACCAAAATAAGTTATATTTTGTCTGGATTGATTGAAAAACTTATTTTCTAGGGTGGTATATTGGTGCGCAGGCCAAGTGATCTGACTGCGATACACTATTGACATATTGGGTGAAATTGTTTGTGCCTCAGGAGAACAGTTCACAATTTTACTATATTAATCAGGATGGGATAGCTGGAAGGAAATAGCATCTACTCTCAAGTCTATTTCATATAAAAGCTGCTCTCCTTTGCCCAAGTGTCATCTTATGAAAAATTCTCATTTTTTAGGATGTCCACACAGCCTATTTTCGCGTGAAGGAGTGGATTGTGTCACGGGTGAATGCTACCAGTACATGGAAATCACATACAAATTCTGATAGAAACTCAATGGGTTAGGAAGTTGTGATATGCATGCGTGGTTTCCCCGTATGTGTATGGATAAAATGGTTCTGAGCTCAAAAGATATTTACAGGTGGACCTAGTAAGCAACTCTAATAGTGTGCATAATATAATTTTATTATACGGATTTCTAAATCGTCCGCCACCTACAACGCGCCCAACAATACCAACAACAGAAGCACAACTACCAGTGAACATCGACCCCCCGACGAAGTCAGAAGTCCTGAATGCAATCAAGATACTAAAAGCTGAGAAAGCAGCAGGACCAGATGGAATCCCAGCAGAAGCATTGAAAATGGACCCAGAGACAACAGTGGACTTGATGACGCCATTGCTGGAGAAAGTGTGGAAAGAGGGCAAAGTACCCGAGGATTGGAAGAACGCATACTCATTCAAACTACCAAAGAAAGGAGACTGAAGTCAATGCAAGAATTGACGCGGAATTATGCTCTTGTCTATCCCAAGCAAAATACTAAGCCGCATCATCCTGGAGAGAATCAAACAAGCCAACCTGGATGAGAAACTTCGACCGGAACAGGCTGGATTCAGGAGAAACAAGTCATGTATTGACCAACTCGCCGCGCTACGGATCATCATTGAACAAAGCTTGTAATGACAGTCACCTCTCTATCTCAGCTTCATCGACTTTGAAAAGGCGTTAGACAGCGTCGATCGAGAGGTGATTTGCCAACTACTTCGCTACTACAGGGTGCCACCGACAATTATACATCTCATCCAACAGTTGTACGACGATGCTGCATGCCAAGTAATCCACAACGGGAAACTTACGGAATCCTTCGAAGTGAGGGCGGGAGTGAGGCAAGGCTGTCTACTATCGCCAATGATTTTTTTGATTGCAGTGGATTGGATGATGCGACAGACAACGGGCAATGGAGAAGTGCATAAAATGGACTTACACTAAAACAGACTTGGAGGATCTGGACTTCGCCGATAATATATGTCTGATTTCCCACAAACTGGAAGATGTGCAAGTGAAAAGTGACAAGTTGGCGATAGATGAAGCATCAAAGATAGGACTTCTTTCAGGTGAACGTAGAGAAAACAGAGGTGATGAAAATTCCTAGCCAACAACAACAGACAGCAATCAGCATAAATGGTAGGAAACTGAAAGGAACAACCTCCTTTACCTACCTACCTGGGAAGCATCGTTTCAAACACAGACGGACGGAACTGACGAAGATATCAAAGCAAGACAAGCTTCCATTACTCTCAAGTCTGTGTTGAGGTCAACAGCCCTACTCTGCATCAAAAATAACATCCGGATCTTCAACTCAAATGTGACGTCAGTGCTACTATACGGATCAGAGACTTGGCGAGTCATAAAGAGCATCTCAAACAAACTTCAGACCTTCATTAACAGTTGTCTTCGCTCAATACTCAAGATCAGATGGCCAGAAAAGATCAGCAACAGGGATCCCTGGGAGCGAACCAATCAGGAACCAATCGTGAAACAAATAGGCAGGAAGAAATGGAGATGGATTGGCCATACGCTGAGGAAACCATCAAGTGACATCACTAGACAAGCCCTCGAGTGGAACCCGAAAGGGAGGCGGCGAGTTGGTCGTTCAAGGGTGACTTGGAGGAGGTCATGCGAGGAGGAGATGAAAGCATGTGGACAGACCTGGAGCGGGGTGAAAAAGTTGTCAGAAAACAGAAGGCAAGCGATGGAGGTGCGCAGCTGAAGCCCTATGTTCCTCTAGGAACTAAAGGATACACTAATAATAATAATACGGATTTGGTGCATAAATAATTTTCTCAACTCTATAAACTTCGCCCCGAAATTCCAGCACACACTAATCAACACAGATATAGCATCACGACTGGATGTCCAGGCGCATAATATGGCACTCTTTTCATCTAACCTGTACAGGCAGTTTTAATGAGAGAACCATGTCATAAAAGTACGAACATTTCAGAGATTATCCTAAAAGTATAGTCCTTTAATGGTGGAAAACACACGAGGTAGATTTATGCATATGACATCAATGCAAAAATCAGCTGTGTACTACATTTTCATGAAAGTTTTTGCTTTGCATTAATTGAATTAACGCATTCAGTTGTATACTAATAAATAATATATTCTCAATAAACTTGGCTTTTACAGGCTGCGCACCGTGCTATATTTTATTTATGTTTTATTTTTCAAGGACATGAGGGTTGTCAAATACGTAAATTGCAAAATAGCTACTCAGTCAAAGAAACACCTTTCTTAGTAATTGTCTCCGATAAATTAACATAATGCTTAATATACTCCTAATTTCTACTTGTCCTAGATTTCTTCAGTGAGTTACTTTGCTATGGACAATTGTTATTTGTGAAGTTGGACTAATGCAGGTTGAGCTTGGTTATTTCTTTCTCGTATACTGTTGAGTCACATGAAACTAGCCAACACCCAACACCTTTCTGATAAATAACTGAATTATTCGAATATTTGCTCCCCGGATATTAAATTACTGTTGATTGTATGCAGATGACAAGTGAACAAGTAAAAGTATGTTAGGTATGAACCGATACAGATGACACTCCTCCCAAAGACTTTTATGGCTACCAACAAAGTATGTTCATGTGAATAATTTTCAAGACTTCTATGTAACAATATTTCACGAGCAGTTGAAAAATATCTGAAACACAGCTAAAGCAAGAAAGCAACGTATGAAACAGGTAAAATGAAATAGATATTTTTATTTATAGCTTGATTACACGCAATATTTTGATGCAAATATGTAATCTTCTGCATGTGATATCGGTTACCCAATTGCAGCAGTTTGATCATGTAATATCAGGTGTTCGTCGGCCAAGGATCGAACCTCGGACTATGTGCTTGGTCGGCGAGCATTCTTTCCGCTGTGCTGCCGATGCACAACTGACCTAACGGCAGAAACTTTGAAATAACTAACTAACGGATTTTCATATCAACGGAAACCAAAATTATATCAACCACTACAATAATGAGAACTCCAAAATGAGAATTAGAGCAAGTGGCTACAGGAAATACACAAGAGCGCAAAATGAACTGGCAACTGTAAAGAATAGCAGTCCAAACGGAACGACTTTTGAACGCACAAGTGACCTTGAGTAAAGGAGTCAGGTGACTGTTATTTCCAGAGGTAATTATGGATGCCCTGCGCCCTTTGCGTTGCGAATTCGCTCCGGACCTTGTTTTGATTACTGTTTGGAGAGCGGACTGTTCGAGAACCTATGTCGTTCGTTTATAATTTACAGATTCCATAGGTACTTTTGATAAGAAAATACAATCGAGGGAGATCGAGAGTGAATCCGGAATGACACCAGCGTCCAGAAAAGATATATTGAGGCCACTCCTAATCGCTGTGCAGGTGTATTATTGCCTATTATCCAGCGGTTGGTGCTGCCTGGGACGGCTATTTATGCAGATAAATGAAGTAGTTACGGTCAGTTATCGAATCTGGGCTATATTCATTAAGTTGTCAACCATACAAATGGTTTTCTCAATCCTTTTGATGGAACTCACACTAATTTCAATGAAAGTTTCTGGATTCTTCTAAAAAACGTATCATATCTCTGAATGGATCAAGAAATGCTATAATATACAGTAATCTCGATGAGTTTATCAACAGGACTTGGTTTAACATGAGAATCAAGACTCCTATGAGAAATAAGGATATTTTGCAACATACACGAGAACGTTGTCCTTTGTAACTATTTTCTAACATTGCATTCTTCATATATAAACGACTTATTACAATTATGCACCGTTTTTTAGCCTGCTGATTGGACGAAGATAAGCTAAGCGCGCTCCTTGAATAAGATGTCCTTTTTCCTCTCTAACCGGAAATATCCAATTTTGTGAATTATTCGTTTGGGAAACCTGATCCTCCTACCCGGCGAATTTTATTCAACCATTTCTTCCTCACCGAGCCTGTGTGTGGCACTTCCCGCTGTCTCGAACTTCTGCCAAAGCTTCAGGTGCTACTTCTGTAGCAACATCCTCCTCACTCTTTCAAATGTACAGGATTTGTGGGTCTGTTACGTGATTGCTGTGAAACCGAATAACCCGAGAGTTACAGGTAAAGTCAAAAGCTTTTACTTAAATACTTTATCCTTCTTTTCTGCGCTCTCTATTGTCTTTTGCTGTAAGTCTATAGGACAAAATAACACTCTCTTACTATTTAATCATCAGTGTAAGCGCAATATCGCTTGAAATTAAGTCACGCGTAGATAAAGGCTATCCCGGTCCAGAACAAACAAGAAGCCGGTCACTGTTTCTACGGTACTATTAATAAACAAATCAATAATTATATATACAACAAACCTTAACGGTTTCAAGAGTACAAAGCACAACGCTTAACAGAAAGCAAGGTACCGCTATCAGAGCGGAATAACGTTAAAGTCAAAATTGCGAACTAGCCGGAACCAGACACGACCGTTCAGGTAAGCAGTCAGTAGAAGAATGAACCCAAGTAAGGCATAGCATAAAACAGAGAGCGTTTAAGAGAGATAGACCGAGCATAGGCACAAAGATAGAATTTAATTGGCTACTTAACCAGGTAGGAAAATACAGATGAAAATCAATA